ATTACTGCATACCAGGATGACAGCGCACAAATATAGATTTAAAATACAGTCCATCCCCCACTGGCTACGTCGGCAGAAGCAATTGATGAGAGACACATGCCTGTATCGTTACAATGTTACAGACATTACATGGGTGGCGTAGATCGTTCTAACCAAAGGCGAAAAACACAGGCAGAAAAAACAATCGTTGGCCAATGCTTATGAATGTTTCAAGGCATTGAATTGCACGACTAAAGTAACGCACAAATTCTTCAATATCCGCACAGGAAAACAACTGATTGGTGGACACTCGAGTAGAATTCAAAAATCCATAAGAGAATTTGGCTCCCTTCCAAGTAACACGTCATTTATTCATAGTGAAAACATGAATTTGACAATATGCAGACTATCTGGGCATCAAAAATCTTGTAAGCAGTGCAGCAAGGACGGAAAAAAAACAGCGAGTGGCCGATTATCAGAAACATCGAAAGGATGCCCAATTTGTAAAGTTCACCTTCATGCGGGCGAATGTTTCGCTGCTTTTCATCACAACATGGCACTGAGGGGAAAATGCACCGTGGGAACACAAACATGAAGTACGGAAGAGTAGCCCTCGACATCAGGCATGGAAGCAGCCCGCCGGGGTGGACGACTAAGAAAGGCGTACAACAAATAAATTTGAGACTTATTACAGCGTCACACTCACAGACTGTACAATAGTTTGAGTTGGTGAAAAAACGTTATCACTAATTTAATTTCATGCTCACTCGGTATTTATACGTTTTAATGTCAGGATAGTTCATCGGGTCTAGTCGGTGGAAATACATTTCTGCGTGAGTATATATACACGCAAAGTCCCTGCAGTTACGTTCTCGCTAGTTCGTTTTATTTCAAGTCATTAAATATACTGTAGCCGCCGTTTCGTTACTAGTATATTGTATTTTTATCGTACGTTCGACTTTTTGTATTTACGCCCTCTAGTGGCTATACTATTTTCCGCTCCGATATATTCTTTTTCTGGAACATTTAGACAGAAAAGTCAGTTCACGGTTAGCGCTCGACGGAGATGGACCCAAAATCGTTTTTACCTACGTTAAGACGGATAGAAGCCGTAAAACGTGTAACTGAGGTCAGTTACTCCCTAGACAGTTACTAATAATGGTCTGATGTAGCTAAGTGCCAGTTTAGTTTGTAATTCAGTTTAGAAGTATTTGGACATTATATTTGTATTGTTGAGGTGAGATTGCCTTCGTGTGTCAATGTATTTCATACTTCAAGATACTGATGGTAACGCTACGTGAGGGACGAGTAACAACGACTAGTGTCTAATTAGAAAGATATACACATACAAGGGTGCGCGTATATATACGTTGAAATATTTAGTTAGTTAATCAGGTCATGTCGGTGAATATACGTTGCCATGTGAAGGTAACCCCGATCAAGTTGCTGCATTTTAGTTTCAGTTTGAGTCGTTAAATATACGTTGTTAGTGTGGGCTTACTTGTACGGTCAAGTCTGTTAATATACGTTAGAGCTTGAATATAACATCAGTCAAGTCACGGAAAGTACATTGTCATATGTTTTACATGTAGTTCAAGTCGTTGAATATACGTTGCAATTTGAAATGTACGCTGACAGGTCGAGTACGTCAAACACGTTTTCCCTAGATGTTGTTCATCATTTTTTGTATTGAAGAATACCATTGTAAATTGGATTTCTTTTGTTCAAGGTATGCTTGTTTTGTGATATTATTGCCTGGTAATTTACTGATACGAGTCCAGTATTTTATTAAATTGATCTGAATGTCTACTAAGAGTGGGAATTCTCCTACTTCAGCTCTGCATGCAATGTTTGTCACAAATTTGTTCAGTCCTAGTAGTTGTTTGTAAAAATTCAATTTGTGTTTGTCCCATTTTGTTATTGTTTTGTCCCATTTGTTGTAATCTTGAATTTCATGACCCCAGATTTCAGACCTGTACAATAATATTGGTTGAATACACCTTTTAAAAAGATGGATGAAAGTTCTACAATTTGTTTCTGGTGATAGGAACTGTTTCAATGCATACATTGCTCTGGCTGCTTTATCTGCTAAATTTTGTTTGGCTTCAGTGTAGCAGCCATTTGACTTTATATTTATACCCAGGTAGTTGTACATATCTACACAGGTAATATTTTGTTCATTATAATTGAATTTTTTTGTCTTTTTTAGTGTTTCTCGTCTGAAAATAACAACTTTTGTTTTTGTCAGATTCACCTGGAGTTTCCATTTATGACAATAAACCTCTAAACTATTTAGTATATTTTGTAGACCATTTTTTTGTTTCAGATATTAACACTAGACCATCTGCATAGAGTAGGGAACATGCATTCATGTAGTGACCTTGTACTTGCTTGTAATGTGTTTTCAATTAAGCAATATTTATTTCAATGTTTAACACGTGTTTATTGAGACTGTACAAAGGGCAAAACATCGTTACTTAAGGACAGTTGATTTTTTTTATACGAGAAATTGTTGTCCATGGTGGTAATGATAATACATATATTTTATATTTTTTTATTAGACGCATAAAATCCTTAGGAAAGGATAAAAAGGGTCTTACAGAAAGAAATTAAAAAAAAAAAAAAAAAAAACTACAATCTAAAAAAGAAAACAAAAAATAAAAACTTTTCTAAAAAAAAAAAAAAAAAAAAAAAAAACAAGTCAAAAACAAAAAAATACAATTTGCACCCAAGGGGGAATACAAAATATAAAAGGAACACAAAAGGGGGCCAAATACCCTGATAGTTGTTGCTGTTTTGTTCCATACCTGTTTTTTAAAAAAACAGCTAAGGCTGGGGCTAAAGTAGGGTTTGCCATAATCAAAATGAATTTATTCTGACTATTTTCTTTATCAAAATTTGAAATTTTATTTTGTGCAGTCAGGAATAATTTGTCCCTAGGGGTGACTGTAACCTGGACATTTCATTACAAAATGTTGCTCATCCTCAACTATATTTTGGCTGCACATATCACATGTTCTTTTATCCACCCGCACATTATTATGTCTGCCTTTCTCAATTTTAAGGTCAGGGTTGCTTGTCCTGAATTTTGCAATTACCTTCTAAGACCATGGTTCTGCATATTAATTAGGTAATTTTCAATTTTTAAATCTTGTTTGAAAAGTCTGTATGTTCTTAGTTTGTTTTAGCCAAGGTTAGTTTTCTATTATCATTATGCATGTCTAAGATCCATTG